TTGCCCAGAACACCAGGGAGAATTTTCACACTTCATTGAAATTATGCTACAGAATAATTTGAATTTTGGAATGGTTGTATCATTCAGGCCATTCCGCTCATTATGCTCATGCCAGCTGTGAAAACAGCACCGCTAATCACATACCCTTTTTTGTTCACAGGCATTAATTTTTTGTTTTTTTTTCAGGTAACTTAGATGAAGACACCCAAGCTGTATGCTCTGTAATTCTCACCCTACATCAGGATTTATTTCCAAATCACTACTTTAAGGCACTCCTAAAATACTGCCTCTTGTGATGCAGTGATTGTGTCCTTACCTCTGAACCAGACAGCCTGGGTTCAAATACCAGAGGTGTATTATGTTATGTCTGAACAGTTTGATTAAAAACCCACTACTTTGATCAAGTAGTCACACAGAATGCCTGGATATAATAATGCACTCATCCCACAAATAGCATGCAATGAAATATATAATTGTTCTGTGTGTGTGTGTATGTGTATATTATATATAAAATTGTTCATTTCTATGAATTAAATGAGAATGCACCTTAATTTACAAATGCTTCAAAAGTATTTTAATTGTAAAAAAGCTTTACATATGCAACCCAAGTAGATAGCGTCCATAATAAAAATGCTTCCTCACATCCTTATTATAAAAACTCCAGTTTCTCCATTACATCTGTTCTGATGATATTACATAGCATGCCAATGCTTTTGACATGTCTTCTTTTCTCCTCAATAAAGAATTGCCACTGAGCATGGTTAATAAGGTCCTCCACTTCATGCACCTGTTCTCACCTCTTACTCTTCCTCCTAGAACCATAAGGTTCCTGTCCTCACCTTCCACATAACTAACCTCTATATTCAGGGCATCTTCTGTTATTTTCCCCATACACAATGAAATTCATCACCAAATATCTTTCCCACCATCCCCTTTTCCCTATCTTTAGGGATCATTCTTAGGTGACATAGTGACAGCCCTTGACAGCAAGGCCACATTCAACCGAGTGTGGCATAAAGGAACTGGAATCAATGGGTATCAGGAGGAAAACTCTCCACTGGTTGGAGTTATATCTGGTTGTTGGAGATCTGTCATCTCAGCTCCAAGACATCTCTGCAGGAGTTCATCAGGGAAGTGTCCTAGGTCCAACCATCTTCAGCTGCTTCATCAAATGACCTTCCCTCCATCCTAAGGTCAGAGGTGGGGATGTTTACTAATGATCGCACAATGTTCAGTACTGTTCATGACTCTTCAGGTACTGAAGCAGTCTAAGTTCAAATGCAACAAGATCTGGACAATATCCAGGCTTGGGCTGACAAATGACAAGTAACGTTCACACCACACAAAAGCAGGGCAATGGCCATCACCAATGAGATACTATCTAACCACCATCCCTCGACATTCATTGGTGTTACTATCACTGTATCCCCTACTATCAACATTTAGGGGTGATCATTGACCAGAAACTCAACTGGATTCATCACATAAACACAGTGGCTACAAGAGCAAGTCAGAGGCTAGGAATGCTGCAGCCAGTAACTCACCTCCTGACTCCCCAAAGCCTGTTCATCGTCTACAAGGCACAAGTCAGGAGTGTCATGGAATATTCCCCATTTGCCCGGATGGGTGCAGCTCCAAACACACTTGCTTGACACTATCCAGGACAAAATAGCCCGCTTGATTGGCACCACATCCACAAACATCACTCCCTTCCCCACCGTCACTCAGTAATACTGCTGCTATCTACAAGATGCATTGTAAAAATCAGACAGCACCTTCCAAACCCACAACCATTTCTATCTAGTAGGACAAGGACAGCAGATACACAGGAAAACCACCATCTACAAGTTTCCCTCCAAGTCATTCACTGTTCTGACTTGGAAATATATCATCATTCCTTCACTGTCACTGGGTCAAAATCCTGGAAATCCCTCCTTAAGGGCATTGTTGGTCAACCCACAGCACGTGGACTGTAGTGATTCAAAAAGGCACTATCTTTTCGAGGGCAACTAGGGACATGCAGTAAATGCTGGCTAGCCAGTGACGCTCATTTCCCATGATTGAATTTTTAAAAATTCCTTCCACAACACCAGACACCGGTCCTCAGTCACCCCTTCCCATGGCACCAATCTGTGCAAACGTAGGTAATGTACCTTTCACCTCCTCCCCTCTCATTGATTTACTTGTACTTCTTTAAATTTAGTATACTATATTCTCTGCTGACCATGTGGTCACTTCTATACTGAGGAGACCATAGCAGAGTGAGTTACAGAACGCTTCCATTCTGTCTGCAAGAACAATCCTGAACTTCTAGTTATGTGTCAAGTTAATTCTCCACCTTGCTTCCACGCTGGCCTCTCTGTCCACGGCCTTCAATGATGTTCCAGTCAAACTCACAAGCTGAAAGAACAATGCCTTATCTTTTAACTCAGCACTCTACAGCTTTTTGGATTTAACATTAAGACAAGAACTTTAGACCATAACCTCCATCTCCATTTTGTTCTGTTATTCTTCCCTTTTGTTTTGATGGTTTGGTCCTTGCTTTCTTAATATTAAATTCAAACGGATTTTATGCATCAATTATGTTTTCACAAAACAACTTTTTTCTTTACTGTATCCACTACTCTTTTTGGCTGTTGCATCTTTTGTAATTTAACCTCCCCTGGTTTCCACCTTTACACAAGTCTTTTTTGTTTTTCATGCCCATTCTTGCTTCGCTGGGTTAAAAAATCTTTCATATTTCTCTTCAGTTCTAATTAAAGGGCATTGACTAGAAATGTTGAGAAAAAAACATAAAAATAACTTATATAGATCTGAATGATGTGAGCTATGGTGAGATTGTAGCAGGATTAGGTGAGAGGACTGGTGAGGCCAATCGGTGTCTTTACTGAGCAGTGAAGCAAATTTTTCACTAGGCAGGGGCGAGTTGCCAATTAAGCAGATATATAGCTTGCTAAACACCTTACTAACGGCATAACTTGCTTCATTAATATTCGGTTTCCTATCTTACCAAATGTGCTGAACAAGCTAGATAGCAAAAATTCTCAACATGAACGTCAAAGAGGATACCAGGCAACTTCAGCTCCATGGTTGTTCCAAAGGACCTTCATGTTGGACATTGGTGTCCAATGTCTCAGGGCAGCTCCAAGGGCACAGATCATATAACACCCCATGTTCATGGATCTTGGCATGCAACATTTGCCATGAGGTTGCCACATCTCTGAACCACTGACATGATGCTTCTGCACTTTAATGCTGTACCTCAGCATCTATCATTGTAATGTTGCAGCAAGGACACTGTGCTGTCAGGGATACATGCCCAACTCATGAGCTGAGCTAGGCTGCATCCCCAGCCAGTTATTTTGCAGTCATTGCACTCACTCACTCTAAGACTACTTGGATCGTCACAGTATCCCTGTCTTGCCTTGTCTTTTTGCACATTGTTCCCCCATCCAGCGATACATGCTCATAAGACTGCTGTATTTCCTTGCTGTTTAGCGCAGACATGCAAGAAGTAAGCTTTTCATGATTGTCAGCATTCAACTGTCATGTCAAAGGACGTATAGCCTTCATTCAGGTCCTGGCACAGTAAGTCAAGGATAACGTCTAATACCTGTCCCAGAACTTGGATATGGTCAGTCAGCCGCTCTAATTGGTCAGAGAGAGGATCCTCTCCACACAAACCTAAAGAGTAACATTCTTCGTAACTTTATGTTGAGCTGTGGGAACCTAATATATGGTCAAGAAATCAAGAAAACCCACTAAGCCTTGTGGAAACAAACCCATCAAAAGACTCAAAGCAACTTACACTGAGCAAAGATATGTAAAATTCAGCCAATTAACTGGTTTTCTCCACAAAAGCTACCTAACCTGTTTTTTTTCTAGGTATTTTTAAAAAGAGTTAAATATCTTTCACTGTACTTCATTTTTAAATTCTTAGGTACAGTATTGTATTGAAATTGCCACTTTAATATTGAAGTGTTACAGGTTATCCCCCTGTCCCAGCCAATATTTGTCACCAATCAACATTATGAAAACAGTTTAACTGGACTGGGGAGCTTGCCGCATCCTAATTAGCTTCTGCATTTCTTCAGTTTACAACAGTGACTATGTTCAAAAAAGAACTTTGTTGACTGTAAGCAGTTTTCATTTGGTGAAAAGCACCAACTGACTGCAAGTGAAAACAGAAAATGTTGGAGAACGTCACCAGGCCTGGCAGTGTCTATGGAGAGATGAACAATTAATGTTTTGAATCTAAAGTGGCTGTTTCTCTCTCTCTCCAAAGATGCTGCCAGAACTGCAGAGTTTCTCCTGTACCTTTTTGCCTTTATTTCAGATTGCCAGCATCTACAGTATTTTGTGTTTATATGACTCCAAGTCTTTTTATTTCTTGTTTCAGTTAAGGATGTGAATAGGTGGCTGTATAAGACATTGGTTCGGCTACTTTTGGAACACTGTTCAATTTTGGAATACTGTGTTCAGTTTTGGTCTTCCTGCTATAGGAAAGATGTTGTTAAAAGGGTGCAGAAAAGATTAACAAGGATGCTGCTGGGGTTGGAGAGTTTGAGCTGTAGGGAAAGGCTGAATAGGCTGGGATTATTTTCCCTGGAGCATGCGAAGCTGAAGGGTGAACTTACAGAGGTTTATAAAATCATGAGGGGCACGGATAGGGTGAATAGCCCAGGTGTTTTCCCCCAGTGTAGGACAAAACTAAGATGAGAGGGGAAATTTTTAAAAGAGACCTAAGGAACAACTTTTTCAAGCAGTGTGTGGTGCCTGTGTGCCAGAGGAATTGGTGGAGGCTGATACAATTACAACATTTAAAAGGCATCAGGATGGTATATGAATAAGAAGGGTTTAGAAGGATATGGGCCAAATGCTGGCAAATGGAATAAGGCTCATTTAGGATATTTGGTTGGCATGGACAAGTCGGACCTAAGGGTCTGTTTCCGTGCTGTACATCTCTTTGACTTTGTAAGTACTTAAAGGAAATGTGTGCGTCAATGGGATGTCCATAGCCATGACGTGCTTTCTTCACTCGGCAGGAGGGCTCTGTGTTCACAGAGAGACAGGACAAGGCGGATTCGAGTCTACTCCGGAGATTGTCCCTGGCTACTTCAACCTAGGAAACCCAGTGAGTTACTTACCGGCCGCCGAAATGCGGATTATTCCTTGTTAATTTTTGTCTTGACGGTGGAGTCATGTTAACCAAAGTCATAGTTAGTTATAAGACATTATTATTTTATCAAACTGGATGAAACGTGGTTTACCAGCTACTTGTAAATAGGTAACGCAATATTTAAAACCGGACACCGATTAGAGATCGACCCGGGAGCAGAAACACGCGGTTTGATCTCTTAAAAATCTGAGGATCTTCCCGTTTTCGGAGATCGCCGTGTGTTTGGCGCCTAAATGTACTTTTATTGTTTCGGTAAACGTGTTTCTACATTGTTCCATCGGTTCAAGGATTCCGGTTTACATTAAAAAAAAATTGGATGACCTGGGAGACTTAAAGAGGTTTCAACTTAAGACGCACTTTCAATCTAATTAAAACAAAAGTAGGTGGCGAGACCGGAGTGGAATTGAAATTCACGGGCTGCGCCGGCTGGCCGTGTAGTTACTAACATTTTACACGTAACATATAAAATCCAATTTGGGTCACATTTACCGGCATGAAGAATGACAATTCTCCGGTCCGGAGAAGGGATTGTAAACCGTGTGAGAGGTTTGTTGATGGTGTGTGGCAGAAGGGTGGGCCATCGATGTGAACGTTGCATCAGCCACCAGCTCAAACTTTGGCCCACTTTCCGCGTTGCCAAGAGCAACCAACCGTCTGTCCATGTGGTCTCGCGCAACCCCCACCGCCCGCCTTCACTCATAAACTCCCGGAAAGAAAAACCTAATTAATTCTTCATTTCGCATCATTTCCTCCGACTTCAAACTAAAACCCGAATATGCGTGTGTGTGTGTGTGTGGTGTGTAAGTTTTACAGACTGCGGGGGAGGGGCAGGACACGACCGTTCTAGGACATGGGCCACTAAAAGGAAACCAAACAAAAAAAATCCCTTAAAAATAAAGAACTGTGGTTGCTGGAAATCAGAAATTGTTGGAAAAACTTCACACCTATGTGGAAAGAGAAAGAGCAGAGTTCGCGTTTCAGTGATCCTTCACGTTTACCTTTCCAATGAGATGATTCTTTAAACCAGGCAGATGCCAAAAATATGACGAGAATTGCAAACGTCGAATTGTTCATTCTGTTCCAACTTTTTAAATAAAAAATAGTCCCACTGGAGAGAAAACAGTGGCTCCATCTGGGGGAAAACCGTTCAAAAACAACCTGCGGATGATGTCGTTTGTGCAAAATTGGTCCGAGTTTCCTGTTTCGAGCGTGCACTTATTTTTTTGAAAATGTTCTCTGCAAACCGCAACAGAAACTTACTGGTTTGTGCGACCGATAACAGCGTTTATGACAAGTTACGCTTTCAGCAAATGTCACCCTGTTTGAATTATTTAGTCTCTGTAAAAACTGGCATAAGTCGAGCAGAATTCAGAGTAAGCAACTAGACCAGTTAGTGTGCATACAGTGTTTCTTATGTATCAAATTTAAAGTTTGAAGCCTTGCGCATTAGGCATGACGTCTTCAAAACAACACAGTTGTGGAAACTTTCCATTTTTAAGGCAAATCATTCCAATATAAAGGTACAGTGAAAATACATTAAAAGCATCTCGAGTCTCAATGATGAGGTTTTCAAAAAAAAACCATGACGAAATAAAAATATGATTTCGATTCTGCTGCACTGTTACTGGAGGATGGAAACAATTTAATGTTTTGCAGAATCAATTCAAAGGATTAAAGAAATCGGAGTGTGAACAGGCATAACGTGCCTCTACCTTTTCCGAGATAGTGGGAACTGCCGATGCTGGAGTATCTGAGATTACAAGGTGTAGAGCTGGATGAACACAGCAGGCCAAGCAGCATCAGAAGAGCAGGAAAGCTGACGTTTCGGATCTGGACCCTTC